AATAATGTTTAAAAATGATATCTCTATCTTCATCGCAGTACTGCTCCTAAGTTAATCGAACAACCTATACAAAATTTTGCATTATATGAAAGGTAATTTTATCCTCTTTCGAATGAGCTATAAAAGAAAAAAATGGTACCTCTAGTTTAAAAGTTATTAATAAATTAGTGACCGCATCTTTTGGGGCTGATTTTTATTTTTCATTTTTCATACAAATTACATCATTTACACATAAAAGTTGAATGTAGATAGTAAATTAATTCAATTTTCTACTTAATAATGCCTTTTGCTGCATTAAATTTAATAAAATAATAAATTTTTCCTTAATTAAACTATACTGCATTTTTCATCCGGCGAAAAATGTTCCAATTCCATTTTGGACTTATCGTCGACGCTATCTTCACGCACATACCTAAACTTTCTCAAGTTGGAAATAATCGTACGTTTTGAGATGGTTTAGTGCAATTTCTGAGAGTGTGTTTGTTATTTTGTGTTGTGCTCATTTAAGTTTCCGTTCTATATAAAATCTTCTTTGGTACAAAGTATTCTTTGCTAAATACATTACTGGCTAAAACTCAAAAATAATTATATACACATAGCCAATAAAGTCTGCGTACACCTTACGAATTTTGATGTGTGATAAAGAAACACAACATACTTAAATATTTTATATTAAAATTTTTACATATATTTATTCTTTGATATCTTAAGTTTAAATAGCAAAAGACTGAAATTGTATTCGTTTGTTCATTCTTGAGATAATGGGATAAAAGTGTCCCTGCATGTAAATATAGGCCCCATAAAGTCTGCGTACAGTTTGTTTGTTTAGATAATATCGTTAATTTTTAAGCAGTTTGTTCTTATTTTTTGCTCATTTGATATTTTTTAGCATTTGAATTGAACATTTAGAGAGATTAATTAATTTTTAAGTAGTTACTATTTTAAAGTATGGAATCAAGGGGAAGAGATATCAGTGTACACGAAAGAACAATAGGGGTATTCTCTCTCTCCTGCAAACTCATTGCAAGGTGCACGAAATGCACAGATTGTACGAGAATGCAAATAACAACAACAAAATACACGCACAAAATTTCGTGCAATTGCGTGCAATCTTCCAATACTAAAACCTATATACATTTGATTGCAACAAAACAGAAATGGCAGAAATCAGCTGTTTTGACATTTGTTGCTTCTCATTTTTAAATTTGAATTTGGTAGCGAAAGGTAAGTTTGCTAAAATATTATACAAATTTTGGTTATTTAAAATTTTTGCGATGTATTTTCAGATAAAAATGGAGGACGGAGCACCAGCTAATAAAAAAAAAAGGTTGCAGCCGCACAAGAAGTGGACGGAGCGAGAAGTGCTCCAAATAATAGAATTTCTGGAGGAGGAAGCAGAATTTGAGGTTACTTCCTGTTTTTATTTGTATAACTCTTAATTAATTTTTATTTTTAATTTTACAGACTCCAACTGCACAATTTTTTTATAAAAAATTTTTAGAAAAGACTCAGTTGGATGCAACGTGGGACCTTGTACGGTGGAAGGTACGGCATCTAAAGGCGCAGTATCGAAAAGCGAACGACTGGCTTGCCGCAACTGGCGCAGGACTGTTAAATGAATCGGACGGCAGTACTATTGACGGTTAGTAAAATTTCGAGATATGTTAATCTATGGCTATGCATGCGTTTCGTTCAATGATTTAAAACGATGTGGCCATTAATTAAGTTTTCACAAATATAATATTATATACATATACATTTGTGAATTAATTTATCTATTTATCAATTTCAGCGAAACTTACGAAAATGTGTCCACACTTTGAACTTTTGAATGAAGTGTTTGGACGCATGTCTAATTTTGAGCCGCTTGTAATATGTACGGACACATTGCCAGAGCCACCAGTTAGTTCTGCGCTAGGCGACGAAGTTCATTTTATTGAATCGTCTGCAGACAACACATCATCCAGCTCTGCACCGAAAGTCGTGCGTTCTGCTGTGCAAAGCCCCACTACCCCACTCGCATCCCCTAAAATTGCTAAAAAAGGTTCAAATTCTGCCATAAGCCAGCTAGCTGTACAAAGAGAAAAACACGTATTTGAGGAAAAAAAGTTAGATTTCGAAAAAATAAAACACGAGACATATAGCAAAATTGAGAAGCGGAAAATTGCTATTGAAGAAAAAAAAATTGAAATGGAAGCTAAGTGGAGGGATAGGGACATGGAATTGAAACGATTGGAACTGGAAATGAAAGAAAGAATTGCAAAATATGAAATCGATAAAAAATATAACAAATAACTATTTTTATTATACTAATTATTTTTATATTATATAATATATATGTATACGTTGTTAAACATTATTATTGTTTTGAAATAAACCTACTGGAAAAAAAGTAATGTCGCAATTGACTTCTTAATTATATATTTAATATATATACATATATGTATGTTTTATATATTGGTATTCGTAAATTATTGATTACCGAACATTAAATTATACAAAAATTTGCGCTTCGAAGCTCCTTCATTGGTTCTCTGACTAGCTTCATTCTGCATAAGCTCATCAGATTCTTCATCGTTGTCATGTACGTAATCCACGTGTTCCGTATCATCACATGAAGGTCGCAAAATGTTGTGCAATATGCAATAAACAAGGAACCAATTTGAACAAAAATTATGACTTGTATCATTCTGAATACGGATTCTTAACTCCTTAAGGCTACCGAAGCGTTCCTTCAGAAGTCCAAAACGATGTTCAATCCTTACACGAAATCTGCTATGGCGTAAGTTAAAAGTTTTACGTTTGGAGTAGTCAAGCTGTTGGGAGTTTGACCGAAACGGAGTTATAAGAGTTTTAAGTAATGGATAAGCAGAATCGCCTGCTAACCATTGTTCCGAAGAAAATAAAGAATTTTCTTGGATGCAGAGAGCGCTTGTACGAAACATGCGAGCATCATGTGCACTTCCATAGTGACCAACTGCGACATGTCGAATCTTCAGCTGATAGTCACATACGACTTGTGCTTTTATTGAATACACTCTATTTTTTGAAAAATAGGATGTATGGTTAACCACTGGTGCTTCGGCAAGTTTTATTTCAGTACCGTCAATATATCCAATGCAATGTGGATGCTCGTGATAGGTTTTCTCCACTACATCTTGTCGTTCAGCTACATCTGGCCACGTTATAAATTTGGTTTGCAGCTCCAATATGGAGCGAATGACTCTTCGGGGTATCTTATAAATTGTTTCCCCATCTCCAACACCAAATAATGTAGCGACTTTACGAATAGCCGCATTTTCGCCTGATGAACCCAAACGATATAAAACAATAGCAAGTTGAAGATCGAGCGGGAATTGTTGAATTGAATGTGAATTAGTGAACTCCGCGCTAGTGTTTATTAGTGAGAGTATTAAGGAAAATTCGTTCCAATTTACTCTAAGCATCTGACGAAAACGGCCTTCATCAAATTCTTGAAGAATGGTAGATCTCCATTGAATAGATTTGGGTACGGGTTGGTGATTTCCGTGATGGTTTACTAAAGTAAACAAAAGGTCTTCATTTAATTGCTCCATCACTTCCCAGTAATTTGCATCATCTAACAAATAGAAACTATACAGTAGTGAAAACTACATTAACAACATGTTAATACCTTCAATCAAAATATTAAAAGCACTATTTTCAATTAAAAAATCTATACATTTTTGTATTTCACTTGTTCGCGGCATTGTTATACTTTTATTTTTCTTTGGTCAATGTGATGCGGCTGCAAAAACAGCTGATTCATTTTGATGATGCAATTCTGCAACAGAGGTGTTCTCGCAGCCTTGCAGTTTTTGTATAGCATTCATGCATTTCGTGCTCCTTGCAATGAGTTTACAAGAGAGAGTGAATACCCCTAATAATTATTAAACTATAGAAAGATGAAAAAAGTTTCCGAAAAATTGGTGAAACTATTAAAAGAACGCATTCATCAGCGCATAGTGGAGAACTTCAAAAAAAAACCGGAATTTTATCTTCTAAACTGCGTCCTCTGCGTCCAAAGGTTTTATCAGTCCGAGAAAAGCGAAAAATAGTCCATATGCTGAAGATCTCGTGTTTCTTCTTCGAAAATTGTGAAATATATAAATCAATCATTTAAAAAAGTATTTGTGCGAAGACTGCTAGAAAAGTATTACATAAAGCTGGATATCGTGGTAGAGTCGCTAGAAAGAAACCGTATATTTCACTTGTAAACAGACAAAATATGCGTTGAAATGCATTGAATTTGCAAACAAATACATAAATAAACTTCCAGAGTTCTGGAAGCAAGTGATATTTTCAGACGAAAGCAAGTTCTGCATCTTTGGTAAGGACGTCAAATGTGTGGAAACAAAATCTTGTTGGTACAGTCAAACACGGCATGGTGGCTGATGGTGCAGGTCAGTTGAAATTTATAGAACCGACAATGAATAAATGGGGTTATTTAAACATTTTAAAAAGAAATTGGAAACAATGTGCAGATAATTTGGGCTTATCCACGTCATTTTGGTTCCAACAGAACAATGACCCAAAACACACAGCGGGGATTGTTAAATTTTGGTTTTTGTACAGCGTTCCAAGACAGCTTAAAACGCCTCCACAATAACCTGAGCTCAACCCCATTGAGAATCTTTGGGATTTATTGGAAAAAAGAATTCGTCAGCATGTGATAACAAGTGAAGAAGCTTTGCGGATTACAATGCAAGCAGAATGGGCGAAAATTACTGCTGAAGAAAATCAGAAGTTGGTTAATTCCATGCCAAACAGATTAAGTGAAGTTCTAAAACAGTGTGGCTAAACAACAAAGTAATAAATTTAGCCTTATTTTTAAAATTTCTACCGATTTTATTAGCTTTTTTATAACTGTACGCAGATTTTATGGGGCTTATATTTACATGCATGGACACTTTTATCCCGTTATCTCAAGAATGAACAAAAGAATACAATTTCAGTCTTTTGCTATTTAAACTTAAGATATCAAAGAATAAATATATGTAAAAATTTTAATATAAAATATTAAATTATGTTGTGTTTCTTTATCACATATCAAAATTCGTAAGGTGTACGAAGACTTTATTGGCTGTGTGTATATATTTTTTTTTATAAATCATTATAAAAATTTTTAATCTTATATATAAAATTAACATTGTCACAATGTTAGTCACCGTACTCCTCCGAAACGGGTTCACCGATTTTTACCAAATTTTATATGCGTATTTAGTAGATCTGAGAATCGGCTACTATCTATTTTTCATACCGCTAAAGTGATTAGGGAGTCTCTACCCAGCAAAAATATCCTTATTGCTTTAACAAAAAATTTTTTATTTTTTTGACATAAATTTTGTTTATATTTTTAAAAAAGAAAAATTTTTTCCTTAATATTTTATGTAACTACGCCAACAAGAACATCGAGCATTTACATCCACTTCGTTTCTACGACTTCGCCTTGCATGACAGATGGAAAATGTACTAAAAATTTTTCTAAAGATTTCACTAATGATACTATAACAAATACCGAAGGATATCCAATATATCGTCGAAGAAATCCCGATAAAGGGGGACAATGGCGGGTGGTGCCGTATTCGCCTCTGCTAAGCAAGACATACAATGCTCATATAAATGTTGAGTTTTGCAGTTCTGTGAAGAGCATCAAATATATAAGTATGTCCATAAAGGCAGTGATATGGCTGTGTTTAGAGTAGAAAATACTAATGTAAATGCTCCTCTCAAAGGTGAACTACGCTCTACCAAATTGGTCGATACATCAGCTCCAATGAAGCTGCTTGGCGTATCTTCGGTTTTCTAATTCATGAACGGGATCCAGCAGCTGTTCAGTTAGCCGTCCATCTTGAAAACGGTCAGCGTGTATTTTTCACGAACGAGACAGTGATTGATCGTGGTACAAATCCACCTAAATCTACACTCACTGCATTTTTTGAATTGTGTAATAGTACGGATGATTTTGGTGCCTTTGCAAGAACATTACTCTATTCACAAGTACCACGCTATTTCACATGGGCTCAAACAAAAAAATGGATGCCCCGCAAGCAAGTTTCACCAGTTGATGCATGTCTCAATTTATTTAAATCGAACGCTTATTTACAGTTAATCCAAGACACACTGAGTGCTTTTATCTTCGACTGTTGTTGGTTAATGTTACTGGCCCATTATCATTATTATTATTTACAAGACAATTCAAATTTGAAGATACAACAGTTGTTGCCAGGGAACTGGGTATCATACAAATCTATTGATTTTAAATTAATAATTTAATAAATAAACTATAATAACTTAAAAATAATATTGTTTGGCGTTTGTTATTTTTATTTTCCTTTTCGTTCATAGCACTCCATGCCTATTTCATGCATATACCACATACTTACACACTTATAATGAGTAAGTTACTTTTTGTCTACACTAGAATTTATCTAGAAACTAGAAATAATTTATAAGGCAAATCAACGTTTGTCGGGTTATCTAGTATTATATAAAAACATCAATACCATATTACAAATACACTATGCATATAAATGCTATGTTTAAGAAAACTATTAATATATAAAATTATATATTTAAAAAGTTTTAATTTGTCGATTAAAACTTGTTTGAACAATTATCAAATAATTAAATTTAGGTTAGATCACCTAAATTCTGGGGTGAGACAGAACACTTACATTTACATTTACAGCACTTACATTTATTAATGCATTTAAACACAAAAATTACTACAAAACATGAGAACCCAATTTACGTCAGGTGACGATTTGAAGGATGCTCAAATAATGTTTTAAGCATAGTGCTTGATATATTAAAAAGCATTTAAAATATGACATAAATTATGTTTTCTCACTCAAATAATGTTTTAAGCATAATACTTAATATATTAAAAAGTAGTACTATACTATATTACATATAGTTTAATGAGAATAATTTATAATTTATAAATAATTTATAGTTTAATGTAAATATATTACTTATATATAAACTAATGGAAAAATTTTATATATATATTATATTCACGAGGACGTGAACGTTTTAAAGGTGGGAGGAGTGACATACCACAATCGTATTAATCCGCCCCTGCCTTTCTTTAGTTATTGTAAACTGCTTTTATAAATTTGGAGAAACGGTTTAATGACATCAACTCATCGCCTTTAAATTGTTGCTACTTGTTTACTCCAAATTTATAGAAACTGTAAAGTAGCGTGTTGAAAATATTTTAAGTATTATTTGGTACAATAAAATAAATAAAAAGACTTACTTTTCAACAATCGAGTTGAGAGGATGTAATAAAGATAAATTACGTTACTAGTTTAATTTCCGGGCAGGTGTCTCTTCTCATTGTGAATGTAACATGAGTAGATTTTGTTTCATTTGCTTTCATGCGCCAACGCTGCAACCATTTCGACATACGACCAAGACCAGCTTGTAGTTTGAAAGAGGCTACAGAGGAATCGTTTGCACTTGCCAGGATAGCTGTGTCATCTCCAAATGTACCGGTTACAATTCCTACCATCTTCGGTAAATCGTATGTGAAAAGCAAATAAAGGGTTGGACCGAATACACTGCCTTGTGGTAATTAATATCATGTAGAGAAGACATTTCATTCTCATTGTTGACATAAAAGAATCTTTTCAAAAGATATGATTTTATGAACGTATAAAGTTAAGTGGCAGAAGCTTTTTACATTTGAAAAGAAGTCCTTGGTGCCATACTCGATCAAACGCTTGAGATATGTCCAAAAACGCTGCTGAGCAGTATTGCTTTCGCTCGAAAGTGGTCTGTATTTTCTATCATTCCGTTTATCCTACAGTTTTTTTGAGTTCTCCCCAGTATACATTACTAGATTCTTCCTGTAGACTTTTGGAGGAGTGTAATAATAAATTTGTTTGGTATACAAATTTATTATTTTTTTAGTTCTGGATTAATACAGGATTATTTTTAGAAATGAGATTTTTTCCGATATTATTTATTTCTTCTTTTTCAAATTAAGCAGGAAGATACAACTAAAAGTGAGAATTTGGTTTCAGCTGTTCGAGCTCAGTTTCAAATCTGAATTTTATTAATGAATTCTTAAACTATTTATACAAAATGTTTTACTAAAATTTACAATTATTTTTCCTAATAATTTTAATTGCGGCGGCACTAAAAAGGTTGATCCACATCAATGCTAAGAAAATATTATGACACATTCAAGTGTGTCATATCAACATGTGCAGAATAGTAGCACAGAAAAGAAAAGTGTCAAATAACAATTGCATACTTGCTATGACCAAACATTCTACTTGCATTGTGGTGGTTCTTCCGTGTGCGATCGCATTACATGTTACATTAGTTTTTAAAATAAAATAAAATAATTTATTGTTTATCTTTGTTTACATTTGAATTTAATGTTGCGCTACACACAACAGGCGGAGTAGCTTCCCATGTTGCTTCCTGAATAGATCTGGTTCAGTCGCTTCAACAATTTCGTTAAGAGACGATGACAATACTGTTTCAAATATAGTCCAATTGGTTTGCTTATTGTATAATTGACATTTTTGGATCTTGTTTCTAAGGTCTTTATCTATTATGACAATCACTGGTGAATGGTCCGATGATAACTCTATGCTGGTCTTACACTGCACATGTTCATAAAGGAAACCTTTGGTAACGCAGAAATCAATTAGATCGGGAGTTTTTGCAATATCTGATGGCCAGTATGTGGGCTCTCCCATGGAAAAAACTTTAAGTTTCAAGAGTCTCACTACTTTGTATAATTCACGTCCCTTTGTTGTGGTTAGTCGGGATCCCCAGAATATATTTTTCGCATTGAAATCTCCACCAGTTATAAATCGATTTCCTAATGTTGAAAAAAATTTTGTGTAGATTTCTTCCTTTGCATTATGTTTTGGTGAACTATATATGACAGATATAAGAATTGGTCTGATTCAGTTCTCAGTCATAACATTTCTGGCTTGAATTTCTGACTTGAAGTGTTGTGGTAAGTACATTCATAATGTTTAAGTGGCTTTTCCGTCCTCATGCGGAGGATGATAGAAACAATAGGATGGAATTTTAAAAAAAATTTTTTTGTGAAATGAGTTTCTGAAACTAATAATATATCTACGTTATTTTTTGATAGAAATAATCTCAGTTCAGAAGAATGTTTTGACAGCCCATTGACCTTCCATAGGATGAGCTTTATGGGCATGAGGTTTTTTTAGAAATAAGACTTACTAGAAGATTTGTCATGGTAGTTATTTGATTCATTACTTCTAGCATTAGTTTCATCATTTCTTTCATTTCACTCACTAATGCTGTTTTTCGTGTTGCTCTTGATGCTGATTAGTTAAGAGTGCAATTTCAGCATTAGGTTTTAGGAATTTTTTTCTAAGTGGTGGAAAAGTAGACGCTTGCAGCTTTTTATACACTAAGCACCCCTTGTAGTTTGCTGGGTGGTTACCTTCACAAAGAACACATTTGACATCATTTGTTCTGGATTTTCTTTTGCAGAGAGACGATGTGTGATTACCAGCACACTTAATGCATTTGGGTTGTCTTCTACATCCTGATTTAGTGTGGCCATAGTGTTGGCATCTTGAGCATTGAGGTAATTCACGTTTAAAATGGGGTGGCTCAAAGGTAACTCGACTGTGGAGTAGGCTTTTTATATTGTAAATATCTTTGTTATTTGGTTTTTGCTCTATTTCTACAACAAACATTGGAAGGCACCATGTGTGTTTGGCGATGTTTTATATTCCAAATATTTATAGCAGCATGTTCAAATTCTTCAAGAGCTGTTTTTATATCCCCTATATCGCCTGAAGGATGCATATTTCTTAATATGACCTTTCATTTTTAGGTTTGTATGTATAGAATTCCGTGTTCTTGCTTTCGAGCAGTTTAACGATTTTTGCATAAATTTCCGGTGTACCGGGCTGTATACGAACACGAGTATATGAAATCACTCTTATTTCATATTTATTGTTCGCAATTTCGTTAAGCAGATTTAAAAGTGGGCGGACGTCCTCAACTTTATCTACGAAAATTGGAAGTGATTTAAGGGGTTTTTCCTTTTGTTTAGCTGGTCGATCTTCTTCTTCTTCCACTACGAGTCCATCAAATCTATCCGAATTACTGAGCCAGTAGTTCAGTTTTTGTTGCTTTGGTTTTCTCATTTTTTCAGAACTGTCTCTAGGTCTTTTATAACCTTTAACTTCGTTCCATTCTTCTTTTCTGCACGATTTAATATCATTAGTTGGAATATTGATTTTAGCGTTATGGATTTCGCTCATAGATCCTGATTGTTCTCGTTGAGAAACCTTCAGTAAACTTGAAATGTCTTTATTTTGTTTATTCATTTTTTCTGCTGAACTAAGTTCTTTTTTAGTTCCAACAACTGCTGGCGAATTATCACATTTTAGTTGGTGTGTACCACCTTCCACCTAAATTAAACAGAAAAGATTTTATTAATAAATTACACATTTAAGAATAAGAGAATTGCAATTGGTATAATTTCTAAGTCAATTTGCACACTTTTATTTCTTTTTTATGTTAAGCATTCAAGTTTTATATGCTGTCTCTATCAGCTGTTTTAGATGTGTGTGGAAAAATATTAATAAAGAAATTCAAAACAAGTTAAACTATTTTTTTCTTTTGATAAAAACAAATGTTTTAATTTAATAAAAGTCTCACTTATCTTTTAAAGTCGTGCACAATTTTATTAGATTTTTATTTAGAGTCACTATCTCATTTGATTTAATTAAATTTGTGATCACTGTATTCCATTTGTTAATAAAAATAACATTGAAAGTTGCGGAGTGATTTATTTTGCGCGCACTTCATGTAACAGGTTATCTACTTATGTTCAAAGCAAAGTAATTTGATTAAAATTTTTTTTTTCATACACACTTTTCGTAAATGGTCTTTCATTTTGCAGAAATGACAAATCGTATTTCTGTGCTTACATTTCTTTGCCATGTGTGTAGAACTGCCATATCTATAGCATTTTTTTATCTTCGGATATGTTCAGTGAAGGTTGCAAGTTAAATTTAATTCTTTTTAAACCTCTTTGTTTTATACCGTGTATTTTATTTTAGGTATCTATTTCTGCAAAAATTTTGATGTGCGGTTTGGTGTAATACCATTCCACTCATTTCCGCTCCTTCGTATGCCGTTGCTACGTTAACTGCGTGTTGCAAGTGTAATGTTTTTCTTTTCAATAACCTGCCTTTTGCTTTGCTTTGGTTCTTTAAACCAAAAACAAATTGATTTCGCAGTACAGTCTCTAAAAAAGCTTGATTGAAAAGCAAACGTTGAAGAATGTTTGGAAATGTAAAGTAAATATGCGTAGCTTTTTATTTCTTTTAAATGATATTTAGGAGAAGCTGTTCTAAAATTTTTCTTCCAAAATTAGCTCGCTGATCTGGTACCCAACACTTTATAAACGAAAGAAAATTAATAAAGGTCCAGTGTCCTCAGCAAACGTTACAGTTAGTATTTCTCCACTTTTTGGCTTAGGTATGTCTGCAGTGTATAATAAATATAGGATCGGGCCTAATAAGCTTCCTTGAGGGACACCGGCTTCTTTTTTTTATCATGTGGTATGAGTCGTTTTGATATTGCACAAAAAGGCGAGGCGTCGAATGGTTCAGAGTGTTCACTGAACACCTTAACAAAGCTTCCTTTTTAAATCTTTTTTTTATTAAGTAAATAATCTCGCTATTTTGCTACTTAACATTTTTTATAATAGCTTTTCCAAACAGATTAACATAAACAAAAAACGTACAATACAAACAAAACCACACATACATATGTTAGTTACACCCAACATTACTTATAATTAATAAAAGAGAAAATATATTCCTCTTCAAATATACTAAGGTTCAGAATTAAAACTGCACCGCTCTGATTACAAAGCATGCAAATGAAATAACATGCACATTGGGACTATGTTCAATATTGAAGAAACGCAAAACATACAAACAAATATAAAAATAAAAGAGAAAACAAACCCCGCAAAATAAGTACGTAAAATAATTATAACTCTTAAATTAATGCGTGCAAGAGGTTCAATAAAAAAAGTGAACTTCCAATGTTATGCAAAGTAAATACAAAAGAGAAAAGAAATGACTGAGCGAAAATCGCTTTACATTTGACTAGAGGTTCACTCGACCAATTTGAACCCCAACTTCATACAAAGCGTGCAAATACAATCAAAGTCACGGTGGCCGTTTTATATGGGCAAATGGTTCAGTATAAAAACTGAACCGGGCATAGTAAATACAAAGTAAAAGAGTAAATGAATGCATGAGAGTTTCTTACTCTTATGTAGAGGTTGGAAATAAACCAAAAACAAAGTCATTATTGCAATTTTATACTAGCAAATGGTAAAAGTGAAGAAAGAAATTAAAGAAATTTGAAGTGAAAAATAATATTTAGAAATGGATAAATGTGTGATTAAACATTTGATTCAAATATCTTTTTTTAAACGATCTTCTGAAAAAAAGATTTTAATTCATAAAATGAATAAAC